CCCCAAAACCCCAAAACCCCAAAACCCCAAAACCCCATATAAGTCTATAAATTATTCAACATTAAGTAATTAATAATGAGTTCAAGAAATAATAGAAGAAGGAGACTAGCTAGTATCGGGGTCTCTCTCAGAAACTCCTTTAATCAGGAGTGACTCCCTGAAATTGCTCCCAACAACCGTAAGAGCATTGAGCGTGAAAAGGTGAGTACAGTTTTGGTTTTTAAGAGTTAAGAACCATGTGCACATTTTGGAGGCATGCCCATTCCTCTATAATATTCTAATCAGAATATGATTTCTTCATAAGTTTATGCTTCAAGGCTTGCATCTCTGGATTCAATCAGTAATTTAAGCACCTTGAGCTTAACTTTTGACATGCCCTGAGTGAGGAGGGTAGCCTGGAATGTTAGTCTAATGGAGACATCCTTTTCAGAACTCTTTACCATAATACTATTCCTATACAATTAAATGAACTCTCACCTTGCTGATATTAGATACGATTTTAAAATTCCTCATAAGGTTCTCTATTTCTGTTTAATCTCGATTTCATTTATCCAAAGGGTGCTTTCATAAAAACCAAATTTGAGTTTAAACCATTTTTCTCAACTGCCTTATCGATATTTGAATAGTATCCGCTTGCTTATTACTTCACCGAAGGTCATCGTTTCTCTCTAAGCTTACTTAAAGAAGACTCTTATTATAAAATAAGGGTTAGGTTTATGGCTTCCAAAGTGTTAGCAACTAACTTAAAATTCTCCTTGCCGTAAAGACATCCTAGGAGTCTTTATTAATATATACCCTAATTGTTCAAATATCGTTACCTGGGATACTCAAAAATAATTACACCCTAAACTTACGTCAGAGGTTCCTAGTTTTGGGCATTATTAGTTGTTTACCATACTGCTCTTTTCCCCCACATTGAATTGACATAAACCTTCCTTCCCAAAACCTAAGTTATATTTCATGGATAGGAGAATTTTTAGGAAATAATTAAGAGAGTTTGGTCATGACTAACCCTTTCAAGGATTTTTAAACTAGTTTTCATTATTAAACCAAGTTATTTTTGTTTCATAGTTATTTAACCGATTTTACGATAATGTCGTTTTGTTAAGAACAAAGAGATAGTAAGAAGCACAACTTTTGAGAATTGTTTGGATAGGGTTGTCTAAGGGTTTAAAATAGGCTAGTTAAACATGCCCTATTGGCTCTTTTGCAAGAGCAGATTTTGGATATTTGTACTGACTTTTTATATGATATGGGGCTAAGAATGTTTGTTGGAATAATTTTTAGTTGAAGTAGAGATAGATTAGATATATGCTTCACTTTTTAGTCATCTCTTGACAACAAAATACTTTTTCTTCATAAATTCGGATGATTTGGATCCATTTTTTTTGCCTCAATAACTAATCTCTCAATAGCCCAGAAACAAGACAAAGCTCAGTATGAAGAGAAGGAGAAGTATTATAGATCTCACTAAGTAAGTATAGATACCATCTCCAGTCCCAAAATCGGATACCTGTTTACATAAATTGAGTTTTCTGAAAGAGCTTTAAACTAATAGTACTATAGGAAGGAGAGTATAAACTGTACCCAATCGTTCTTCTCTCCAAAGCCAAAGAAATTAGCTTTCTTTAACAAGAAGATTACTTTCATCCCAAATTTTTGGAATAAAAAGAAGGCAAGGAAGATGACTCTTCAGACCACTACTAAAAAGACCAAAGCTAAGATCCTCGTGTGAAAGAAGGAGACAGAGAGTGAAAAGAGGGAGAAAATAAAGCTGATCTTTGATAGTATGGATGCTAAATACTCCAAATATATCAAACATGAGATCCAGCGCAAGCATAAGCTCGTTTTGTAACTAATAATTTACTATCTTCACTCTCAGTTCACAGGGGCTTTTGGAGTTCTCTTATTATAATTTTATAATAAAACGAAGGGTTTAGTATAATTAAAGCACTTGCTGAAGAAATACTATGTTCCAAACTTAGATCTCAGTGAAAGTTACATAATATATTGCATAGTAAGCAATCTTTCGATTATTCAGAATTCACGAGAATTTTTAGAAAATGCATAATTAAAGTTTTGATTGAAAAATAAACACCAATTCTGGAAAAAGGTAAAATCCTACTAGACTAATAATGAATTTAGAAGGCCTAAAAGCTAAAGAGCAACAGAGATATGCCATTTGGAGTCTTATTTCTTGCTAATCATTTTTATGAATAACTCAGAAAATCCACCTATAAATACCATATATGTTGAGTATTTTCTCTCACCAGAATTTCTTCACTCGATTAAAGAAAGAATCGAAGATTTGAAGAGAGGCTAAAAAGGAAGACTTAAAACTTCTGAGAGAAGATTATTAGTCTCTACACACATTTTTATCTGATCTCATTAATTCAGACTCTTATTGACCAATTTCCTATGAATTTTTTCATCTTCAGAGCATTTGCATTAGACATTAGTATTTTTAATATGGCTATGAAAAATAGTAGAACAATTACCACCAAATCTCTGATAAGTCATAAGGAAGGTACGTCTACGAGACTCATCTTGGCCAATGCTTAATAGGAATACTGATTTATCACAGGAATCTTCTAAGGATTCATCAAATGAGCCAGGAAGCAACACTAGCAAAATTTTAATACAACAAAATGGAGGATACGAAATTTAGTTATTATTAATCATTAAGGATACCTAATACTGATTCTCTGGGCTTCTTGAACATGAAAATATTGGTAGAATCAAGAGTCACTCTTGGAAGCCCTTTTCGCACTCCTCCTCAGTTGGATAATAATCTCTTATTCCAAATCTTGCAGACCTTACAAAGCTTGCTCTGAAGCTCAGATTGCGACCAATAGACTTAGCCTATCAATTAGAATTCGGGGAAAATCATGTCTAAAACATACCATTAGGAAAGACACTAGATCTCACATTAGTTGATTTCATACTGCTTCAACGTCACCATTTCAACCTTAATTTTAATGAAAGGGGTTTTGGGGTTTTGGGGTTTTGGGGTTTTGGGG